TAACGAAGAGGAGGATGACGACAAAGGCAGCAGCGGGAGGTGAGCGCCGCGCAGGTGCCGGGTCCGCTCCTCCCGCAGAGCTCACTGTCCGGAGCTTGTCTCCTAACGCCCGTCTCGGACGTCCCTAGGAGGGGCCAGTGAGCCTCGGCTGAGTTTAAAAAATAGAAAAGTTAGCTCTTACTTAAAGAGAAATGTCTGGGAACATTATATGTAGGAAATTACTGTAAACAGAAGGAAATCCAAGCGTTTCATTCTCGTACCCGGAATGTCCTGCCTTGACATGTGCCTTGTTCCCTGTGCCTAAGCGTGTTTCCTGCAGAAACGGTGCGGCCTGTTTTACAGCTTTTTGCTGAGGGTTTCGGCGTCAGCTTAGCAAACGCATTCATTTGAGCACTCCCGCGGTCAGTGCTCCTGCTCAGTGGCCTCCACGTCTGTCCTGTTTCCCTTTGTATAGCCTGATGAGAAAGAAGGCTGCGGGGCTGGAGTCGGCAGCTACCATAAGAACCAAAGTGTTCGTGTGGGGACTGAACGACAAGGACCAGCTCGGCGGGCTGAAGGGCTCCAAGGTAAGTGTCCCCGCGAGGGGCGTCCCGATGGCCATGTCCGCCTGCCCGAGGAGGCGCAGTGCCGTCGTCCAGAGGCTCAGCAGCAGGCTGCCCCGACCGTGTTCGGGAAGTCCCACCTGTCACGTGCCGTGCGGTTTTCCTTTGTGACAGTCAGACAGATGGTGTTTCTAATAGGGTCTCCTGTGACCCGAGCCTCCTGCTGCAACCTCCCAGCCAGCTAGGACTCCAGTCAGGCCACGCCTGGCGCAGCCCACCTGTGCACCACTGCAGCCAGGCCTGGGTGTCGTTTCTTAAATTATTTTAAAAGTGAGTCTTCATATGAGCGAGTAGTCGCTATCAAATTTAGTTTCTTTTTTTCTTTTTTTAAAAATGCGTATTCATTTTTCTGTTTATTTCTTGTGATATTTCAAACCACTGGGTCTGGGACTTAAACCATGGTCAGTCATGTGGGAATCCAACATCTTGACCAGCACGCCACCTGCTGGCCTCTCAAATTCAGTTTCTGAAACCCTCCATCCTTGGTCCTTGGGGGCCAGCGCACTTTAGGTAGAGAGTTGTGTTACTGCTGTCTGATAAACTGTGAGGTAACATATCTGAGAATGCTGTGCTTGGCAAATGCCTGGTCTCCTTCACCTTGTGCACAAGCTGTGGCCTACAGGAAGCCGTTCCCCGGCTCCTCTGCTCCGGGGATACTCAGCCCTGAGGTCTTGGGGAGTTCGGGAAGTGGCTTAAGCCGCCCAGAACGACACGTTAACAAGTGAAGCAGTGGAGCGAGAGTTCAGTGCCCCTTGTTACTCAGGGCCTCTTGTCCGAGGGGACACAAAGCGGGGTCCTCCCAAGTTGGTGCTGGGAAACGGTCTGCCTCTCCGGCCCGCTTCCTTCTCTGCCCTGTGAGACGCCGCCCGACGCAGTGCCCTCCTCGCCCATGTCGGTGAGAAACCGAGGCAGCAGAGCTCGCCTCCTTGAACTCTGCCTTCAGGGTGGGGTCACGTGTGTCCGTGTTGGACAGCCTCGTGACGCTGTCCCGGGGCACCGCCTCCATTCTGGAAGGAGAAGCTGTAGGTGGCCCCACCGCGGCACAGCAGGTGCTGGGCCTAGGCCGAGGCGGGGGCTGTGTGGTGAAAACCCTCTTCCTCGGCAGTAGA